AAAAAAAAAAAACACGGAAAAATCACGACCATCGGGAAAAACCAGCAGAGATCCCACAGGATCAGCCTAGGGAATCGCTCGGGGAAGGAGGAAAACCCGAAAGGATCTCTCCTGGGAAAAAAGTGGGATCTCGGCTTTCTGGGAAGCAGAATCCTTCGTTCCCGAGCCAGGACGATCCCAGGGCTCACCCAGCTTTTCCTTCTGCTCCCGGCACCTCCCGGCCAGTTCCTGCAGCTCCAGGTATTTCTTGGAGAGGTCGCTTCGTCCCGATTCCAGCGGCGCCTGGAATTTCAGGTTCTGCTCGGCCAAGCTCCGGTTGGAAGCCAAGGCCATTTCCCGCTCCAGCTGCAGCTCCTGCACCTGCGGAATTCGGGAAGTGACGCCGGGAACGGGACGAGGGAGCCCCGGGGTGACCCCCCCCCCTCCAACCTCCTGTGATTCCAGAGCCAAGCGCTCGATTTCCTGGGAATCCTCCTGCAGCTCCCGGAGCTCCTCCACCGTACAGTTCCTGAGCGTGTCCATCCTCCCGGATTCCTGGGACACGGAAAAGGAGGCGGGTAAATCCCCCAGTCCAGCTGTTTGGCCTCCTAGGGACTGAACTCCAGCTTTGTTAAACCTCCTGGAGCAGCTTCTATAAGAAATCAGCGAGGGCAAAGCAACATTCCCACTAATTCCTCCTTCAGGAATGACTTTCCCCCAACTTTTCCCAGCCTGTTTGGAAAGAATTTTGTGCATCCCAGAGGGTTTTGTCGAGGAAAAACCCACTCCCAGCCCCGACCAGCAAATTCCAGCTGAATCTCTCCCCCATTTTCCAGATTTTGACTCATTCCAGGCTCCATCCCACCCCAGATTCCCATTCTTCCAAGGAAACCTGGACCTGCTCCTATCCCACTGTTTCCAAAGAGATGGAAAAGATCTTATGGATCATCCAGTTCCACCCTCTGAAGTGGAAAGCAGTGAAATAACACAAAATCCTGGATTTCCAGTATTATATCTGCGATTTATCCCAAATATTCCAGGTTTTCTGATAACATGTAGGAATTATCCCGCATCTGTGGTGCAAATTCCAAGAGTTGGGAGGGGATAATGCGGGAATGTCATAAAAAACACAGGGACACCCCACAAACCTGTGCCGTCCTGATGGCTCCCGGCTCTTCTACCTCTTATCCAAGTGGAGCATCCCAAGGATTTCACGCCGGCAATGATGCAAGAGCCTCAGGAATGTCTCAATCCATGATCCCGATAAACCTGTCCGAGGGGAAAACAGGGAATTGCGTCCCGCGCTGCAGGCGCGGGGCTTTCCCCCCGCACGGGAATCACCCGATTCAGGAGTTTTTTTGTCTCTTAACGAAATTTTATGGAATTTAAACGGGAAAAACGGGAATGCCGGGAGCGGGAAAACTCAAGAACTGGCTCTGGGAAGCGCCCAACGGCGCTCGGCGGGTTGGAGGCGAAGCGCTGGGTGACTGCACGGTAGCAGCGAGCGGGAGAGGCCGCGTTAGCGCCGTTATGCCGCCGTTATTCCCGGTATTCCCGATATTTCCATTCCCGGCCCAGCCCCAGACCCACCGTAGACCCTCCGCCCGTCGCTACTTCCGGGTTCCGGCGCGGACCGGAAGTTGGCGGGGCCATTGCCGACAAGGAGGGGGGACGCGCCCTCTCCCCCCCAGGAGGCCGCGGGTGGTTCCTCCCGGCGCCGCCATGTTGGGGGGGGCGGGATTTGGGAGCAATTTAATGGATTTTTTTTCCTAATTAATCAATGTTTGGATGCCCAGAGGGCTCCTGCCGGGTCGTAGCCGCTCTAGGATTTATATCCTTCGTGGTTTTGGGGCGGAGGAGCGCTGAGAGAGGTGGAGAAAGGGGTTTGGAGAAGGGCCATAGCATAATAGGGAATGGGGTTGGATGGACACGGCGAGGGGTTTAGTGGGATTTGGGGAATAAATCCTGTCCTGTGAGGGTGGTAAAACCCTGCGATGGATTTCCCAGGGAAGCTGTGCCTGCCCCAGCCCTGGAAGTGCCCAAGGCCCGATTGGAAGTGGTTTAGGAAAAACACACAGAGCTCAGCAACATCCCAAAAACCCAGATAACATCCCAAAAAATTCCTATAGTGGCGGGTTTTCCCGGCTGGAACTAAGATATCAAAGCAAATCCCTTTGGAATACCTGGATTAGCCCCTCCCGACATGAAACAGGGATATGTTTCCTAGAAGGTACATGGAAGCTCCAATCCCATCACCCAAAACATGACTCCAAGCCCCACTTTTCCCGAATTAACTCCACATTCCCAAATCCCACACAGGGATAAGGAATGAGGAGAGCAGCTCCTTCAGAAGACAGCAGAAGGTTGCTCCCAAAGTGCCTCTGGGATCCAGGAAAGGCACCTCTGATCCCATAAGTCACCTGAGCCTTTGTTGTGGAATAAACGAGAGTCACATGATCCCAAAAAATTCCAGTTGAATCAAGGACAACTTGTTCCCAGTGCGGCTGATAAACAGGTCAAACTCCCAATGTTATGGGAAAACAAAGGGACTCGACTTTCCAAAGGGAAAGAAATGCTTTCCAGGCTTGTTTGGAGCAGTTTTCCAAACACATGGAAAAGCTGGAAAATGTTTAGTTAACATTTGATATAAAAATTATGGATTGGGGAGAGGAAAAAATAAGATTTTTGCGGAATAAATGGGAAAATATCCATTTGATTGTTATCCAGCAATAAGAAAATGGGATAAAGGGGTGTTTTGGGGAGGATATTCCCATTAAAACTTTATTAATATCCTTAATTTCCATGTTTTTGGAAGGATATTCCCATTACCTGTTTATTAATATCCTTAATTCCCATTAAAATAGTTCCGCCTGGGATTCTTTTACATTAAAATTTAAGGATTAAGGATAAATTAAATTGTATTCAGATTCGCAAGGAATAAATGGGAAAATATCCGTTTAAATATGTTACCTGGCAAAAAAAATTGGGATAATTTTTCCTTTTTAAAGGATATTCCCATTATTTTCTTATTAATCTCCCTAATTTCCATAAAAGATGGTTACACCTGGGTTTTTCCCCCCTCGGATTTTGTGTTAATCCCACCCAAAACCAGGTAGGAAAAGGTTATCTGAGGTCCCTGTCCGGCAGAATTCCATTCCCACAGGGAATGCCAAGATCCTTGATAACTTAATTCAATATTTTTAAGCAAATCCCAGAGATTTGCCTCCTCAGGAGCCTCAGAATTCCCTCCTTTCATCTGACAGCTCCGATAAAGCTCCGGGGTGATAAAGGGACAAGAAGAACTGGGAACAGGGCCTGGAAAACAAGTTTCCTTCCTGAATCCATTCCAAGATAAACCCTGACCCCGTTAGGGGATTTTTGGGGGGGTAAAATTAAGGAAGTTCCCGGGCTTTTGATGTCCCAAAAGCCGGAAAATCCCGAAATGTTGATTCAGAGGGTGATTCCCGTGGGAGTTAAATCCATCCCAAGTGGCGTTTCCACGTTAAAACCAGGATTATCTGGGAACAAACCTAAATTTTTTGGAGGGAGGATTTGACCAGGAATCCCTGCCTGAATCAGGAATGGATCCAGATCCGGGGTTTTTTTGGGATCTTCCCATCCTTTGGTGCCCTCTGGTGCCAAGGAAAGCTGGGACAGGGAGGCCTCGGTCACCTGCTCCCGACCTAAAATCCCAGCTCCGGGATGGATTATTCCAGGATCCCTGAATTTCCCCACCGGGGTTGGAAAAATCCCGATTTCTCCCTGAGGAAAAGCCATTTCACACCCTCAAAGGGGTTATTTTTCCATCCTCCCACCTTTTTATTCCTGATTTAATTAGTGGTGAACGTTAATTCCCATTTTCTCCCCGTCCCTGAATCCCACAACTTCTTCCCGCTGGGGATAAGGATTCATCCAAAAATCCGGAGGGATTTTGCCTCCCGGGGATGGGATTTACAACCAACTTGTCCTGAAACTTCCCATTCCTGGCAAAAACCTTCCATTGGAAAATCTGGAGTCCTGATCCCCCGGGATGGCAGCTCTGGGAATTAAATGGATAAACAGCTCTGGGATAAGGGAATATTTTTGTTTTCCCTCCTGTTTTGGCCCAAAACCAGAGACAACTTGGAAGCTCCAAATTTACAGGGACACCTTCCACTAGTCCAGGTTGCTCCAAGCCCTTTTCCAGCCTGGCATTCGGCAATTCCAGGGATGGGGCAGCCACAGCTTTCCTGGGAAATCCATTCCAGTGCTTCACCACCCTCACAGGGAAGGATTTACTCCCAATATCCTGTTTAAATCGCCCCTTTTCCAGTTTGGAGCCATTCCCCCTTGTCCTGTCGCTCCATTCCCATTCCCAAAATCCCTCTCCCGCTCTCCTGGAGCCCCTTGAGGCACTGGAAGAGGCTCCAAGATTTCCCCCGAGCTTCTCTTCTCCAGGCTGGACAATTCCAGCTCTCCCAGCCTTTCCCATCCCTTGGATCACCTCCGTGCCCTCCTCTGGCTTTGCTCCAATGCTTCCATGTCTTGGTTCCACTGGGATTTCATCCCTCTCACCCTTTCCCGGTGCTGCTGCAGAACTGGGACCAGCTGTGGGGTCAAAGTGGGAGCAGCCAGGGGAAGGTCCGGCTCCGGATGCCACTGGAATGCTGAAGGTCACTGGAGCTGGGCCAGGAATCTTGGCTTCCCTCACGGCACCACGTGGATCCTGGAACGGTCACCTTGTCCTGGAGGAGATCAAAGGATCAAAGGCTCCCTAAGGCCAGAGCTGGAATTCTTCCCTTGGAATCAGCCCCGTTCCCGGCTCGGAAGAACAAAAGAATCCGAGGATCGGGGCTGAATTCCATAGGGGGGGGTGAAATGGATAAAGATCCCAGGGGATGTTGGGAGAAAAGGGATGAAGGCGCGGATTATCCCAGAGGAAAAAAGGTGGATGGGATGTGTTGGAGGGGTTTTGGAAGGAGAAGGGCTTGGCTGATTCCCAGAATGGAAAATCTGGAGCTGGCAGCCTGAAAATCCCGAATGGATTGGCTGGAGGAAAAGGCTCTGGAGAGACCTTGGAGCCCCTAAAGCAACACCAGGAAAGCTGGAGAGGGACTTTGGAAAAGGGCCTGGAATGATAGGACACAGGGAATGGCTTCCCAGTGCCAGAGGGCAGGTTTAGGTGGGATATTGGGAATGAATCCTTCCCTGTGAGGGTAATGAGGCCCTGGAATGGATCTCCCAGGAAAGCCTTGGCTGCCTCATCCCTGGTGAGCTGCAATCCAGGGATCAAACCCTCCAGCCGGGAGCTGGGGGCGATCCAGGGGACAAACCCAACCCCACATTCCCACCGGCTCCCAGCGCCTTCCCTCGGGACACCGGGAGCGCTTCCCTCCCATCCCAGCATCCCGACCTCACCCCTGGGAATAAGGGCTTGACATTCCCCCCCTTCCCCGGCCACCTTCCTTAAGGACGTTGTGATAAGATTCCCAGGAACCGTTTGCTTTCCTTATCGGAGCCGCCGGCCAAACACGGGAGCCGGGATATAAGGAGCGGGAGCGGGAGCGGAGGCTCACATTCCCGGAGCTCCCGCCATGAAGCTGCTCCTGCTCCTCTCCCTGGTGGTCCTGGCCCAGGGCCTGGGGACCAGGTGAGCGCCGGGAAGGGCCCCCGTCCCAAAGGATGCGGGATGTGGGATGATCCCGGTGACGGATCCCGGTGTCCGCAGGGTGCCCCTGAGGAAGATGAAGTCGCTGCGGGAGAGGCTGCGGGAGCAGGGATTGCTGGAGAGTTTCCTGGAGAAGAATCCCTATAACCTGGCTGCCAAGTACCTCCCTGGGATCGCTGTGGAGCCCCTGCAGAACTACATGGATGTGAGGGAATGGGATCGGGATCTGGGGGGGCACGGGGGCCACTATCCCCTTTCCAATCCCACTATCCCCTTTCCAATCCCACTATCCTTTTTCCTGTCCCACCACCCCTTCCACATCCCAATTACCCCTTCCCACTATTCCCTTCCCTACCCCACTATCCCCTCTCCATTATCCCCTTCCCCATCCCACTATCCCATTCCCACTCTCCTCTTTTCAATCCCACTGTCCCCTTCCCAGTCCCACTGTCCCATTCCCACTATCCCCTTCTCAGTCCCACTATCCCTTTCCCTATCCCACTGTCCCCTCCCCACTAACCACTTCCCCATCCCACTGTCCCCATTCCGCTCTCCCCTTCCCTATCCCACTATCCCCATTCCCACCCCATTACCCTCTTCCCACTATCCCCATTCCCATCCCACTATTTCCTTCTCACTATCCCCTTCCCTGTCCCACTATTTCCTTCTCACTATCCCCTTCCCCATCCCACTGCCCCCACCCCACTCTCCCCTTCCCAATCCCACTCCTCCTTTCCCACCTCGCTCCGGCAGGACGAGTACTTCGGCACCATCTCCATCGGGACTCCAGCCCAGGAATTCACCGTCGTCTTTGACACCGGCTCTTCCAACCTTTGGGTTCCCTCCGTCTTCTGCTCCAGCCCGGCCTGCAGTAGGTGTCTGGAATGTGTCTGGAATGTGTCCGGAGCGTGTCCAGGTGTCTGGAATGTCTCTGGGTGTCCGGAGCGTGTCCAGGTGTCCGGAATGTCTCTGGGTGTCCGGAGCGTGTCCGGCAGCCCTGTGGCTTCTTGGACAATGGGGAACCCCCCAGGCCTTGGGAGACAGGGATGGCTCTGCCCTGGGAATCAGCCTCTCCCAGGGACACTGAGGTGCCACCCTCATTCCCAATGGCCTCATTCCCGTGATTCCCTCCCTCCCCACCCTTTCAGGGAACCACAACCGCTTCAATCCTGCGGATTCCTCCACCTTCCTGAGCACCAACGACACCCTGTTCATCGCCTACGGCACGGGAAGCATGTCCGGAGTCCTGGGATACGACACCGTCAACGTAGGGCCGCTCCATCCTTCCCATCCTGTGGGATCCGGGATCCCGGGAGGCCCGAGCCACACCTCTCTCCCTTTCCCAGGTCGCCGGGATCAACGTCCGGAACCAGATTTTCGGGCTGGCGGAGACGGAGCCGGGGGATTTCTTCTACTACACCCCCTTCGATGGAATCCTGGGATTGGCATTCCCGAGCATCGCCTCCTCTGGAGCCACCCCGGTCTTCGACAACATGATGATGGAAAGGCTCGTGGATCGGGATCTCTTCTCCGTCTACCTGAGCAGGTAAATCCCGGCCGGAGCCGCCGAGGAGTTCTCCCGTTTCCCTCCCGCCGGTGCTGGTTTCCCAGTGGGAATGGCAGGGTGGGCAATCCCTGGACGGATCCCGCTTTTCAGGGACGGCCAAGCCGGAAGCTTTGTCCTGTTCGGCGCCATCGATCCCTTTTACACCGCCAAAGGAATCTCCTGGATCCCGCTCTCCGCCGAGACCTACTGGCAGATCACCATGGACAGGTATTCCCGGGAAGCTCCGCAGCCGGTGTTTTTGGGGAATCCCAACCTCGGGAAGCTCACCCTGCATCCCTGTTTCCAGCGTCTCCATCAAGGGGGCGGCGGCGGCCTGTTCCTCGGGATGCCAGGCCATCGTGGATACGGGAACATCCCTGCTGGCCATGCCCGTCCGAGCCTTCCGCATCGTCATGAGCGCCCTGGGCGCCCGCTCCAACGGCGAGGTGAGCCCCCGGGACACTTCCCAGGATGTTTTTTCCCGGCCGGAATAGCCACTGACCCACCCTGTGCCCCCCCAGATCAGCTGCCAGGCTGCCAGAAAACTGCCCGACCTCGTGTTCCATATCCACGGCCAAGCATTCCCGGTGCCGGCCAGAGCCTACGTGATACAGGTGAGCATCCCGCTGGGAACGGGGCTGGAATGACGCGGGGCGGGGATCCCACAGCCGGTGACCTCCCTGTTCCATGTGCTCGGAGCAGAGCGACGGGGTCTGCAGCCTGGGATTCCAAGGCATGGATGCCCCCACGGAGGAGGGCGAGCTCTGGATCCTTGGGGACGTGTTTATCCGGGAATACTACGTCGTCTTCGACAGGGCCAACAACAAGGTGGGGCTGTCCCGGCTGCCCTGAGCCGGGATGGGGGATCCCGGCGGTTCCCGGCTTGGGGGCTGGCAGGGGTGTCCCTTTTCCCGCCGTTCCCGGCCCCTCCTGCCGCTCCCGAGGACAATAAAGGTGTGGAGAAGCCTCCCTGTGCCGCGTGTCTCTGGGAAGGGCGGGGCATTCCTGGGAATGGGGCGTGTCCCTGGACACCGGTGGGTGTCACCCTCACCTGCATCCCTGCGGACCTTTGTCCATGGAGACTCTCATCCGTGTGGATCCTCATCCCTGGGGACCTCCCGGCCCTCAGGACCCTTCTCCCTGAGCACCCTCGTCCCCGGGGTCTTCCCAGCCTTGGGGATCCTCATCCCTGGGGATCCTGGCAGGATATGTCCTCCCTGTCCCCAAACTCCAACCCCAGCACTTCCCTCCTCATCCCGCAGAGGCCGCTCATCCCAAAATTCCCGCTGAGGACAAGCCCCGGGCTCCGCGTGTTCCCCAAGCAGGAGTGACAGGGAATAAATACCAGGATGAGTTTATTGGCGAGGGGGGACAGTCGCCCCCCCTTCCCCAGGGGCCTGATCCTGCAGACCCCCCTCCTCTTCCTCATCCTCCTCCTCCTCCCGGCACTCGGCACCTGGGGCTCTTCCCGCTGTCCGGCGGCACCGCAGGGGGATCCGCATTCCCGAGGGATCCCTGAGCCTCTGGGCCGGAGCAGCCCGTGGGATCCGGGGGGGCTGCGGCCTCGGAGGGGGGGTCGGGGGGCACCGAGGGGTGTCCAGAGGGGCTCGGGGTGGTGGGAAGGGGATCCCCGGCATCCCAAATCCCGGGAAAGGGGCTGGGGGCGGCAGATGTGTTGGGAAGCAGGAGCTGGGCCAGGCGGGGGCGGGATTTGGGGGGATTGGGGTGGGAGGTGCCAGGGGGTGAATCCTTAGGGATTGGGGACTGAGAGGAGGATGGGGACAGGGAGGACGGGAATGAGGATGGGGAGTGGGAGGAGGAGGGGGATGAGGATGGGGACAGGGATTGGGATGGGGATGAGGATGAGAATAGGGATGAGGATGGGGCCAGGGAGGAGAATGGGGACAAGGACTGGGCCAGGGATGGGGCCAGGGATGGGGTCAGGGATAAGGACGGGGCCAGGGATGGGGTCAGGTCACTGCCCTGCAGCGGGAGCCGGACGTCTGTGGCTGGCACAGGGATGACTTTGGTCAGTTCCCGCCCCTCCCCTGGGACCCCCAGCCTGGGGTGGGGGTCCCTGGAGTGCCAGGAGGTCTGGGAATCCCATTACCTGGGCAGGGTGGGCAGCAGGGAGCAGGAATCGCGGGGGGCTCGGAGCAGGAGTGGGGGCACGGCCGCTCCTCGCAGGTCACCTCCCCGAGCTGGCACAGGGGGGGCACGGTGGGTCAGCCGGGCCTGCCAACCCCCCCGGGGCACAATGGCACCGGCACGGGCACCCCGTGGGCACAGGGACCCCACGGACAGGGGTATCCCATGGGCACAGGGACCCCACGGACACGGGCACCCCCGCAGGCACGGGGACCCTACACACCAGGGCACCCCGTGAATCCAAAGGCATCCCATGGGCATGAGGACCCCCCGAACCCCTCGGGGTCACCCCCCGGTCAGGGTCACCCCCCGGACCCCCCGTGGTCCCCGCTGTGTCCCCTCCCCACTCACCTGGCAGGCGCAGCGGGTGCAGGGCTGCCCCTCGGGGGTGAAGCTCTGCCCGTTCTCCACCTTCCTGCCGCGGTAGTTGCAGTCTGGGGGGGTGGGAGGGCTCGCTCAGGGGGCTCGGGGAGGCTCCGAGGGGCTCGGGGGGGGGGGGTCGGGGGCCCTCCGTCCCCCCCCCCCCCCCCCCCCCCCCCCCCCC